TATTAAAAGTTGTATTACATTTACACGGACAGTTTAAAAAAATATTAAATCCATGGAATTTTAAATATAAAATATCCAAAACTTGGGTTGGGAGATGGTATAGCATAGTGGTTAAAAACATGAGTTCTAGAGGCAGAGACTCTCAGTTTAATGTCCAAGTGTTCACCCATTAGCTATGTGTCCTTGGAAGTAAGGTATCTTTTCCAAGCTTTATATTTCTTCCTTTTCTCACTGGAGATAAAAAGAGTACCTCTTTCATAGGGTTAGAGCTTATACCTAATAGGTGATAGATAAATATCAGTTACTATTATGTTTAGCTCTTATACTTAATGTTACGATAATGTTAAAGGTCTCTACATGTTTTTTAAATAAAATCCAAGCCCCACACGGTAGTCCACATAGCCCCTGCCTGGTTTCCAACTTTATCTCTCTTTCTGTCCCATTCTACTTGCTCCCTCAGCCCCAGACATACAACTCAAGCTCAGGCTGCTTTTAGGCCTTTGCACTTGCTAGTCTTTCTGCTTAGAATCTTCAGTCCCCAGATCTGTATGTGGTTGTCCTTCTTTATCATTCAGTTGTCAGCTAAGGTGAACCTCCTCTGAGATGGAGTTTCTGAACAAATTAGCTACAGGAGTCCCATCTGCTGTGTGCTACCTATTCCATTGCCCTGTTTTAAATTATTTCTAAATGTAGTGCTCTTTTGTTCATAAGTTTTTCTTCTCCCTTGCCCTACTAAAAAGTTATTTGCTTATGAGCAGAAACTTTGTCTTATTCAGTGTTCTCTTCATCCTTGGAGTATATAGCATTTCACTGAGAAAAGATAAAATTTAAACCTATGACCAGATGAATAATTTCAATAATAAATAAGTTACTAAGTTCCAGTAAAGGAATAAAAGGGAAGATATGCCAGGTGACCAAATAGAAATGATGTCTCTACATCTTAGTTTTTAAAGAGAGAGAGACTAAAATATACACTCAGATTTAGAAATGCATTCTTGATATGTATGTTGAGAGGCTGAAGAGAGTTTGATCAGAGAATCCTATTGAGTTTTGCTGAATTCCGTTACAGTGTTATCCAGAGCAGAGTGCTATTTTAGGAAGGATACTGTATTATGATCTTAATTTCTGATCCATTCTCCCAACTACAGAGGAAAATGGTAATTTTCTCTCACCTTAATCCCTTGTACCCTCTAGGAAAGACAGCTATGCCTTTATCGGTTCCTCTGCAAGGGGAAAGTAATGACTAATTTGCATTGTGTAAAGCACTTGAAAATGCACACCATTTAGACACTTATTTGGGGCCAGTTTCAGATTTCTCAAGAGTGAGACTAACTGATAGCCATTGCTTTGAGAAGAACAAGGAATAGTAACTTGACCCAAAGAGGGAGTTGGATTCTGGGAGCTTGGAGGAATGGAAAAGTGATGAGATTCCCTAATGATGATCAAGGTCTGATTAAGCTTATCTCACAGATGTTTTATATTCAAGCAGCATAGCTGTCCATACTTTAATTGTCTAATCAAACTAAAGCTGACTGAGAAAATTCTTTGAGGAAAGGAGGATATCACTCCAAAAAGACTAAATGAGATTTTTCTTGATAACTCTAAAGAAGAAGACCAAAGACATTTAATTTGTTTTAGAAAAATAAAGCAATGAGAAATTTTCTCCCTTCAAGTATGGCATACGATTTCCATATTAGGTATAAATACAATTTTATTTATTGGTGGAAGAAATTAAGAGAAGCTCATGGTTTTCTTAGTACAGCAGAGCTAAAACTATTAATGATGGGTGAGCCAAATGATTTTACTTTCTAAGCACCCAAGAGTCTCTGGGCTTTTATGACACTATTAGTCATGGAAGTATATATTAACGCAATATCTTTGAACTTATTATTTTTTGGAATATCTGTAACAGCTGTAAATTTTAGAAAACTTAGCAAGTTTTCTTCTCAAGAACTCTTCTTTCTTGCTAACAAAATCCTGATTTTGTTTCCAGTTATAATCTAACCACATCAGGTAGTATATCACGATGGTCTAAAGCTAAACCAATGATTTAGTCTGCCACATACTTAATTTTATAGCTTGCCTTGCTGGAAAATTAAGACATAACCACATAGCACAGTTTTGGACAAAGAGAGATAAAGGGATGTCTAATAGTGGCTCCTTGGAAAGATTCTGTATTCCTATTAAAAGGGGTATATGTGGTTGGTACTACCCATTTCTCCTTTCTTCTTACTTTGAACATGCCCAGAGTGACAGTAGCCAACTCATTGACTATGTCAAGTAATTGAATCAAGACCTGCCTACTTTATCTCTCTTCACTTCTTTTTATATGAATGAAATAAATCCTGATTGTTTAAGCCAAAGTTGGATTTTTTTGTTACTTGAAGCCAAAAGCAAAATCTCAGTCACTGTTTCCACTAGTCCATTTGCTATATTTATCAATTATATAACAAATAGACTGATAAGACAGTGAAATAAAGTGTATTTTAAAAGCCTGTTCTAAAATATTTCTTCATTTTATCTCAGGCTAATGTAATTATGTCTACCTAAAACTGAAAATAATCAGACAGTAAAATGAATAATGGGATAGAGTATGACTATCATTAGATAGGGCAGGTGTCATTCACAGAATACAACTTAGAAAACAGTTGTTGATTCACAAAATTGTAGGATCATTTACTGACCTTATGACAGCTAGAGACACCTTGAAAATAGGCTATAAACATTTTAGTTCTAGATCTGAAGCTGAAATAGTTTATTCTATTTACAGACACACATATCTCCTTTTTAAAAAATTGATTTTATAATCTTTTCCCGATTCTATAGCTTCCAATCTTCATAAACACACACATCCTATAATAAACAACTAGAGTCATTAAGAAAGGAAGAATGGGCCGGGCGCGGTGGCTCACGCCTGTAATCCTAGCTCTCTGGGAGGCTGAGGCTGGCAGATTGTTTGAGCTCAGGAGTTCGAAACCAGCCTGA